GATATGATCTCTCTTGCTAGTTCCTGTCAGTACTCTGGCTGCAGCATTTTGGATTAACTGTCTAATTGTCTTCTCTTTTCCTGTTGGCACACTTCCCTGCTTATTAAGTTTGCATCTGAGGGAAGTGGAGTTTAAACTTTCAGTGTTTTGAACAAACGGCTAAAAATCACTCCACAAAATGAAGATATTTTATTTGAGCTTACGGGGGATAGTTTTGAACATTTTTGGTCCCAAAACCCAGGGTCCATACAGACAATGTTACAATGGATAAAATGGAAAAATGGTTGGATTTGAGATTTACTACTGCTGCTCATAGTTGCACAATCATAGCAAAAAGCAGCTATAACAGTTAGAATACAGAGAAAAGCTCAGTAAGGATCATGTGAACATTTCTTGTTTGTTCTTAACAATTCTTTACAAAACATACATTTTTTTTAAAACAACAAAGAGATGCAACAAAGATAAACTGATCAATATGAACACAACCAGTAAGGCATCAGGCAGGTGCAGAATAAATATCAGATATGTACACAAGTTAATGGCATATCAAGGCTCATTTATCTCAGAGGTAGAGCATGTCCATGATAAGACAATCGCTAAAGTGACCAGCTGTTCAGTACATATTAAGCTTTTGTAGTTGAGCTGTGGAATGAATTTAGTTTTCCTTTTCTCAGTTTAAGTTGTACAGTGTTACAGGTGAAAATACAAGGAAAAATTGCTTAAATTAATAAACATTCTCATAATGTACTTGCATAAACATGTTTACACAACTTTGATAAGCACTTGCTACTAAGGCAATAACTGATGAATTGCAATTGAGAAGACCAGTACTGAATGTAGATGTTAGGACTGTAATACAAACATCACCAGAACCAGCCTGGATCACAGTAGAGGCTGTGCAGGTGTGTGCGTGTGGAAAATGTGTTGCCGCTCAGCGGTCACCATAGCGTAGGAAAATCCATGTGGGCAAAGCCCAGGTCTTTCCTCAGCTCCCAGTATGTGTTGTTGCTCACCCACGTATCATCCTTTGACTTCCTGTGCAGACAGACAGACAGTAATGAATACTGCACAAGAGAAACCATGATGACACGTAATGCTATTAAGAGCTAAAACGTGCTCACTTTTTCAGTTCCCTGGTGTGAAGCTAATAAATCTAGATATTTAGGCTACCTGAAGAATTTTGGTTGATGCGTTATGTTGTTTTCCTCCAGGACTCTTCGTCTCTCCCTCTGCAGCTGTTCAATCCTCTGTTTCTGTTCCTCTGCAGCCTCTAAGTTCCCCTCCTCCAGCAGTCTGCCAGCAAGACACAGACACATTCATCATGCAAACATGATCAAACATTAATATTCAAATTTAATCTGTACCTATTTTTAGATTTGCATCATTATTGTGATATAACCAAATTATAAATAAGAAGCAAAACACATAACTCAGGATATTGATGGGTTAGTCATGTTTTACTTGAAAAAGTGAAGAGTGCTTCTTGTCTGTGGTATGTTGTGGCAGGAGTATTTAGTTTACAGACCTTTAACTCTTAAAACTGTGAGCTAAAATTAGTTTTATGAATGTCAGAGCCTCTGTGGTTATGCAGTTATTTTTGTGCTATTTGATCACAGGGTAGGGGGTGCATTTTTTAACACGTCAAGAGCACAGCTGAGATCCGTAGTGTAAGATTATAAATGATGTGCTGCTTAGATATTCACTGACTTTGAGCAGCTTTTATAGTAGATGTCTGATAATTCTCTGGCAGAAATCTCAGTCTTTTAGCTTTATTTCTTTTAATATTTTATTAATCTTTAAAAAATAGTGTTGCAGAAATCACTGAACTACCAGATTCATTCAAGGTAGTGTTGGTGATTTACTTTAGAAGTATGTTTTGTTACATTTCTTGAAATTCTTTTTTCATCCTGATGGCAATGAATAAATTAAATGCAATGACAACATAAAGACAAAAATCCACCATCTGTTGCAGCGGCAGGACTGAAAAAAAAGCCTGATCGGGAATTTTATTTGGCCCAAACAAAACCACTGAATGGCTTACCTGCCTGTCAACCTAACTTCCTACTCATGCGCACACTGCCCTTGCACTCACTGAGTTATTTTCCTGACATCAGTAGTAGTCAGGCAGTGTGCGTGTCGCAGTGTGCATTGTGCTTTGGAGGAGTGGCTTTGGAGAGAAGTCAGAAGAAAAGGGTGGGACTTCTTCCTCTTGCTGGTTTTTCCAGGAACACAACTATCCATTTACATGAATTAAAGTATATTTTTGTTTTTATTTCTTTCACTTTTTCCTCTTACCTTTGGTCCACTCGTAGTCTGGTGTCTGTGGGCGGTAGCAGCAGTTTCAGACATGGTTCTAGCTCATTCAGTTCAACAGCAAACTTGGTAAAACCATAGTACTGCTCATGGTCTGCTGGCATTGGATCTGCATCCCAAACAAATAACACCCAGTGGATTAGATACTACTACAGGAGACTAAAATATCTTTTGGTGCATTCTCATTAAAGCAACTTGTCATACTTGCTCTCCAGATGCATGTGGCTGAAGGCGGGTCTCCACAGAAAACTGCTTCATGCCACTTCCCGAAAAGTCTGTGGATGACCTTCCCTTTTTTATCTGTGATCGTTCCCTCCACCTCGTTCACACTTGAATTCCAGTATTTGGCCTGTTGAATTGACAGTTGTAGAAGAAAATCTGGGTAAATGAACCACACTGTGAACAGAAGGCATCTGGCTTTTCCACAGGGTGGAGCACATAGTGATAGGTGATTATGAAATGGACGAGGCTGAGATCATGTCCTCCTTGCAGCTGGCAGATATTGCTGTTGTGAAAACCATCCTGAGCACTGCACACTGTGGCTCAGGATGGTGTGTTTAATGAAAAACGAGGATGCATGATGAGTTCTGACACGTCTTGACTTGCTATGCCACACAGTGCCAGGAGCTCTTGTAAATGGGCACACACTAAAGCAATTAACCTTTTCCAACATCGAGCATGAAAAACATCCAGGGGTTCTTGCTGGCATGCCGGTGAAAAGCACTGTCTGTGCCGAAGATTTATGGAATAATGATGGAAACTATAGAATTTACCATGACTGAAGGTGATTACACTGTATATATGGGGCTGTCTACCAGCACAAACACATGGTCAGTGGTGGTGAGGTACATTTGGGGGGATGCGATCCTGGATCCAGCCCCAAAGTAGAACCTTTTCACTCAACAAACTTTTCACATCTTTTTCTCACCTTAACAAAAGTGATCTTGCATTGGCAAATGTCACTGCTGGAATTTCTGATGGAGATCTCCCCATAGTGCTCAATCCATCGCTGTCCACTCAGAATGTTGTGGATGCAGGACGTGACCTTGTTCCACTCATAGTGGTCTCCAAATCTAGAAAAAGATAAATTAAAACGGTATTAAAAACAAATTTCCTTTTGCCTTGACATTCATAGCCATTGCTTTTAAATGCCATGGTTTGTACAGTCTGTGTGTACGTATCCAGTGACTCACTCTGGCACAGTTACATGAGTAGTACCCACAGGAACAATCTCCATTGACTTCCCCCAGAACTTGTTCTTACACCTCACATCTACAGAATCAGTCAGAGAAAAAAAATATGTACACATTCATCCTGGACAGCTAAATGTAATCTTTACAAACACTGAGATCCAAACAACATATATTCCACTACCTTGCCAGAAGACAAAGTTTTTAGACTCTGCATGGCAAGCTGAGATTGGTGGGTGATGGCTGACCTGGCACAGTAAAGACCAACAAACAGAAGTGTCAGTACACTGACTCAACGAATGCTTTCACTGCATTATAACTAGAATATTGCAACTGATGACAGCACAGATAATGAGCTCCATGTATACCTGCTCTGCAACAAATCGAAAGCCTTTATCTGGTCGGTCACATTCATATGTCTCTCCCAGAACAGGATTGAAAGGTTTCCCCCCAGTTCTGTAATAGTTGGATGCATAGCCTGATACAACAAATGTGGCTATGTACACCTACAAAAGACAAACAGTTAGTAGTGCTTTGACTACAATTTATATGACAGAATAATGAGTCATTGAAACTGAGATGCAGCAAAAAGCTTAACTGTGACATGAAGTTAACCTTGTGAAAATCCCAAGGGTCTAAAAATAATTCTGGAGAAAGCCAGAAACTCTCTGAGCCATATAATTCATTTTATTGTTTAAGTACCACATATTATGGGGTCATAATGAATGTCTCGTTCCATTTGGATTCTCAGCAGTTCTAATTTCCTCTCCATTTCAATGTAATGAGTAGAATCAGTGTCTGTCTAAATGCTCCTCCCATAGTTACATGGAGTCAAGAGAGCACTGATAATTACTGCCACATCATAATGGGAGGCCACAAAGTAGAGCTGACACAGACATTCCATTGCACACTTATATATTGTACGTATATTGCACATTTGGACTTTATAACCAGGAGACACCACAGGCTGTATCTCAACACCTCCCACGCAGAAATGAACAGATTTCAAAGGGGCAGCTGGAGTCCCCAGCCTAGAGGAACAAAAGCCAGCAGCAAGTAATGAGTAATTCATGGCTCTTAACATTATGCTTGATAGTCATTTAACTCTGCCTCAGCCTGCTGTAATTGCCAGGTTATGCTTGTAATACCTGCTTTTTCTGTATTGGTTGGCTTGTCTAGCTTTTGACATTGCAGTTAAAGAACAGTTTGATAAATCTGATAACTGTTCTTATTTACATTTGTGCTAAGAGTTAGCTGGGAAGACTGCTACCACTTTCATGACTTTGTGCCATGAAGCTAGAGACAGCAGGTGTTTAGCTGAAAACAGAGAGAAACTGCTAGCTTGGCTCTGTCCAAAGTTTAAACAATGCATTTCGGGATTAACAAATTTTTTTTTACAATAATGAGTTTTAGAGGTGCTGGTATAAATCCATTAAAACAAAGACAGGCGAGAATTTTCCCACTGCTTCCAGTCTTTACGCTAAGCTAATCATCTCTGCAGCTTCATATTTAGGAGATGATATAAGAGTGGTATCAAGTGTCCCAGTAAGAAAGCAAATAAGCATAATTCCCAAAAGGTTGAACTATTCCTTTAATACTCCAAGGAAACCAAGGCCATACGCTTTCTTTTGAAGAGACAGCATGAACTCTCTACTTTAAACTAGGTTCCTGCTGGTTTGGAAAGTGATGAAATTATATCTTTGGACATAAATGGCTTCAGTTTGTACAAATCTTTTGCAGAGGTCACCAGACTAGCTTCAGCAACAGCAACTGCTTTTGTCAAAGTCAAAGACTCTGTCCACGGACTCAAACAGCAAAATGTGACTTTGCCATCTCACCATACGTTCAAAAGGGTCCTGTGTGTTAGCAGCCCTGTCTAGGAGCTCGCTGTATTCCAGCTCCTCACACAGTCTCTGCAAGGTATTGAGTGGCTCATTAAGCTGCACGGGCATCGCCACTTTAGACAGATCTTTGCCAATGTTGTTCTTGAGGATGTTCCACAGGCTGATGGTGCAGTTGTCCGGGCTTGGTGAGGGCAAACAGGATCTACGCTGACAAAGGACAGCGCCTTCTTCCACGGAGTCTGGGAACAGATGGCGTATAGATGCCGTCAGGAAAGACTGACAGCTGCTTGTGTGGTGAAGTCAAATAGCAAATAACATCTGTCTGTAACTGCGCTAGTGCCAGTATTGTATTCATATTTCTACTGAATGTAACCCACAGTATATGTCCCTTGGCTTTCTGTTCCATACTTTACCTGAGTTTGGTCTCTCACTTTCTATCCCATTGCTGAAGTTGTCCATGGAAATGTTGTCACTAATGTCACTGATGTACGAGTCATCCTCTGACACCTAAAGAAAACATTCAAACTTGAGCTAACAGATAAAAGATGCATTTTAATAAGGCTTTGGTCTCTTTCATCATCCTGCCATGTCAACGGAAGATGAATGGTCCCTCAGGACCTGATGAACAAATCAGGAAAAATTTGCATCTTGATTTGCTGTATTTTTAGATTCAAGTCATTAACTTCCACTTTCACATTGCTTCCACTCCAGCTGCCATCTGATCAGGCATACTACATGAACACTGAAGGAAGAGGAGAATGAACAGATTTGTCATAAAGTCTTTAAGCTGCCTCCAACCATCATGTTACGATAAAAGGCACGACAGCCTCTCTGCAACAGAAAAACACTGAAGTTTAACTCACTTTGCAGAGGCACACAGACAGAAATTACAAACTGTCTGGTGACAGAATCAGTGGTGATCATTTTGTTTTAGACCCAACTGTTTGGATTATGTTTTCTCTCCACTGAATTATGCAGATCCTCTTATCAAAATACAATGACAGCAGAACTGGCATTAACATTCTGTAAACAAGAGAAATTAGTGCAGCCATCAACAGCAATAATTTCATTATGCAACCCTAAATGTTTCAAAGCTTACCCCACTGACTGATTCTGAGGACAAGACACATCAGTACAGCTGCTGATGCTAACAGTTTATCAGTCACACTTACTGTACCTCATTTTCAGAAGAACTAGCGGACAACAGGACTTCCTGCGCATCAAAGAACTCAGACAAAGACTCCGCTATTGAAGCTCTGCTCTCATTGGATACTTGGTGTACGAGGGAACGGGATTCATCCACTGAGTCCTGTTTCTAGGAGACATAATGTCCACAGCTATAATTAAGAACAAGAAAAGGGCGACATCATCACCGGGGGGGGGGGGCAATCTCCAGCTAATTCAGAATACAATATTGTCACAGTGTGTGAATAATGAGAATGTCACAACACACAAAAATCTAATATACATTATACTGAAAGACATTTGTAATACAATAAATCACAATATGTTATTGAAAAGAAAAGCATAACCCTGAGCATTTCTCAAAAGCAGCAATCAGGTATATAGTAAACTTTATAAAATGGTTTGTTTTATAGGAATTTATAGATGCAACATACATTCATTCATGTAAATTGACAATTCAAAACAAATTTTAAAAACTGAACATGTCAGAACTAACATTTGTATAAAGGAAGGATTTTGCTAGAGGAAGAGACCAGTTATATCAGTCAAACATATTTTGAGACACTGTATCACAGTATATTACTTTATTAATTATTATGGGCTGGTCAGACACACAGGATTTCAGCATGTGTGCAGACCCACTCTTGTCCAATACTGAAACCTGTGACTTGACTCTAAGTTAAGGTTATTGACATAAAACAGGATCCATATTTAAGATGAACTGATTCAAATAACTGTTCTGAAAACAACCACAAAAAAAAAACATGCAGTCTAATACAAACATGAAGTATTTTCCATGAAAATGAACATGCTCATTTATCCTTTGTTATTGCTTAAACTGATTAATTAGCCTGGGTTAATCTCATAGAAGGCGCATTCACTTTGTGCTGTGTGTTCACCTAATATCCAGGGATATAATTAAGTAGATCGGCTCATAGTCTGTGGTCAGCAGATCTGATTAAGCGAGTGGAAAGCTTCCCTTGTGAGATGATAACATGACAGGCAGTTAGAAGGATTTCTCTTGGTCGCATGATTATGAGAAATGCACAATTACAGGACTGAGAGGAAGCAGTTTCTCATCGACAGGAATACTACTTATTTTGTGAGCCGGTGTTCCCTGAAGAGTGTGTAGTAAGGAAAATTCTGGTCCGTTTTTTATTGTCGCTGTCGCCACAGTGACCAAGGGTGAGGGAGAGGACAGCTCGTTCATTCTGTGGCAAATTCTAGACTAGATCTGTGTGGGATGAAAATAAAGACAGAGATATTAATAATCATCATGATGGGGGGTCGGGGGAGTACAGTCACTGCATTCCT